GAAAGAAGAAATTTACTGCATTGATATTCCCAGACACCATGGTCTGACGCTGTTCCCTGCTTGTTTGCTTTGTGCCATGAAAAGAGGAGTCATGGCAATTAGCTGTTGTACCATCAGTGAGCCAGTGGTGCCTCCTGAGTGCGTGAGGCTCCTTGCAGGGTGCAGGTGGTTGGTGTCGAGGTGTGGGCGCAGGCCCTTAGCAGGGGTAGCGGGCTCTCCCGCCATTGTAGCAGCCCAGGCCTCCGAAGCCGAAGCCGCCGGAGGAGATGGCCACTCCCTGGGCGCTGAGGGCGCTGCCCACAGCAGCTGATGAGGAGGATCCGACGGCGGTGTTCTGGGGGAAGGAGCTGAGGATGGGTCCCTGCAGGGTGACCAGCACGGCGGGAGGCTGGATGACGACTTGGGAGTCCTGGCACTGCCTGACACAGGGCTCGTTGCAGCTGTTAGCCAGCGGGGTGGGTCCCCCGCTGCAGGGGCGGCAGAGGTCGTAGCAGGACATGGCTGTGGGGTGGATGGTCCCTGGAAGAGAGGGTATTGTGCAAATGGAGGTTGTTGAGGACCCAAGAAGCTGTGCTCGGTGTGGCCCAGGGAGCAAGTTGGTTGGGGTTGGGGCTTGGGGTGGTGGAGAGGATGGTTTCTGGGGAGGTAGAAGAGCTGCAGAGTCTTGGGGCCAAGGGGTTTGGATAGCCAAGCCAGGTGGGGTGGGCAAGGGAGGGCAGCAGATGACATGCTTACCTAGAGGAGTGCAGAGGAGGAGGTGTCAGGAGAAGTGTGTGAGGGAGCGAGGCTCAGGGCCGGCTTTTATGCTGCTGTGTGAGTGCCCGAGGGCTTGGAGAGAGCCTCTGCGCATGGCGGCATTGTGCAGTGAGCAGCTCTTGCGTGCCACAGCCTGGCCAGTCATGAGGTGGGGTGTGTTTGCCTTCCACAGCTCTCCCTTTTCATTACCTTTTGTTGTGGATTTGATCCTTTGACCTTGTCGGCAACTTTTAAGAGAAAATGAATATTGTGTTGTATTTATTT